CTCCTATGATCTTCTATTGAGTTGTCTAATTCTGAAATTTTATTGTTAATCTTTTGAATTTCTAGTTACTGTCTCTCTATGGTTTCTAGTAGCCTGTTAAATCTGTCGTTTTGTTCTTGTATTGTTTCCCTGAATTCCTCATTGCTTTGTCTGTATCTTCCTTGGCTTGGCCTGAGTTTTGCCTCATCTCCCTCCTGATCTCTTACAGAGCTCTGTATATTAGTCTTTTGAATTCTATCTCAGGTAATTCCATGACTCTATCTTCCTCTGGAAGGTTTCCTGGTTCTTTATTTTGGTCACTTGCTGAAGCCATCTTGACCTGCTTCTTTATGTGATTTGATATTGACTGTTGTCTCTAAGCCATCAATAAGTTATTATATTTATTTATTGTATGTTTGTTTACTATGTCCTAGCTTCTTGTTTTGTTTTTATATGCTCAAGTAGGCTGGGCATGTGAGCTACTCTGGTTATTGGCATCTTTGATGCTCTCACATCGTGTCTCCAGGTGGTTAGAGCAGCTACTAGGTGTGTGAGCCCAAGAGTCTGTTCACTTTTCTTGTGCAGGTGTGGCATAGGTGACCAGGTCATTGGTCACTGAGTGTGTGGTGCAGAGTCTCACCTACAGTCCTAGATGGGCAGGGCTGCATAAGAATGTTCAGAGCAGGCACAGGTATATGGCTGCAATAGGGGGTTATGTTTGGAGCAAGGCAGGGGGCTGATGGCTGCCCCTGGGTGCCTGGGTGGAGGGCATGTCCTGTCCCCTAGAGCACATAGTTGTGGGGGGTATTGCAGTAGGTCCTGGGGCACCTAGTGCTGTAGGCTGAAGGGACTGGGAGGCATCACCTATTCTCAGACTTCTGTCATGGGTGGCTAGATGGAGTGAGTGGTACCACCAGCCCTCAGGCCCATGATGTGGGTGGGTGAGGTCCCTGCTTCGGGGGCAGGGTGGTGTCAACTGTCACAAATCTGCAGCTCCCCCTTGGCTGCTGCAGTTGAAAATGGGCTTCAGGTGTATGCCCTGCTGTTTTATGCTAATGAGGGTGTGCAGTGTTGAATCGGCCCACACAGGTCTAGGCAGGGGTGAAGGATGCTGCAAGTCTGTGGACCCCTTATGCCAGTGGCTGGATGAAAGGGCAGGGCCTCCCCACCCACCCTAAGTTCCTGGCCTAGGGGGCGTGGCATTTTTTAAAGCTGTGAGACTGGTGTGGGCATGGATAGCCCTGAGTTCCAGCTTAGGGAGCATGGCGGTAGTTGAATACTGCCAGACTTGTGTTGGAACAGAGGGGAGTGGGTGAGGCGAAGGAAGCACTTTCCCGCTGTGAAACTCCTGGACGGGGAGGGGTTATTTTGCCCCCATGTGGTAGGTTAGACGCTTGCACTTATACTTTCGCAGGTCCAGCGCCACTTTCACCAAGCTCCAGAGGCTTATGCAGACTCACTGCTACCTGGCCTCACTCAACACGGTGAGATGTGTACCGAACGCTACTGCTCACCTCAGCCCACATGCGCCAGTCAACCCAGCCAGCAGAGTGCCGGCAACCTCATGACTGGCACTTCTCGCTGCTTTTAAATTGTTTCTCACTCCCGCTGTTTCTCGGTCCAACTCTTCAGCTTTGTCTTTGATGATCAGGGCTCCTAGACTGTCATATATAATCGATTCACTTGTTTTTTCAGGTCTTTGTTGTAAGAGGGATGACAGGAAGCATCTGACTATTCTGCCATCTTGGCCCCACCTATAGTATTTCTTTTTAAGAAGACTTCAGGGGATACTTTAAAGATTATCACAAGGCAATAGTTTCAGGGGTTCATCCAACATTTTTGGCTCCCGGAAGTATAGAATTCATGAAAATCTGAGATTCTGGTCTGTATTTTCCCGCTTTTGCTCAGGATTCTTCTATGGAATTTTTGATCAAAATGTTCAGTAATGGTAGTAGCTGGGCACCATCCAGTTCTTCAGGTCTCATGGCAAAGGAAGCAGTTGTTCATGCAGGTGATTAGCCTCACATTCCAAATCCTCCTTCTATTTCTGACTCTCATACACCAATATTCATTGCAGCACTATTCACAATAGTCAAAAGGTGGAAACAACCTAAATGCCCATCAACAGATGAATGGATAAACAAAATGTGGTACATACATACGATGGAATAACACTTTGTCAGTAGGAGAAATGAAGTCTTGATACATGTTATAATATGGATGGAGCTTAAAGACATTATGCTGAGTGAAATAAGTCAGTCACAAAAGGACAAATACGGTATGACCTCACTTATGTAAAAAAGACAAGAAAAGGCAAATGACTAGAGAACAAAGTATATCAGCCGTTACAAGGGGCAGGAGGGAGGGGGAAAGAGGATTAACTGTGATGGAAATATCGCATTGATTAATGGTAGGGCTGCACAGCTGATTATTAGAATTGCTGTCAATAAGTAGTACACCTGTAAAAAGTTGAATTGGCAAAAGTTGTGTGATGGATATATTTACAAAAATGACAAGAAAAAAAAGTGTAGCTGCTGAGGATGCTTATGTACAACCAAAAACCTCATAGGATTTGGTTTCATGGTTTGAAGGTTTAGGGTCATGGTTTCATGGGACATCATTTTTAATTGGCCTAATAACATGTATAATGCTTCTGTTCTACCTCCTAGTTCATTGTGTAGTGCCTGGGGTCTTAAAAGCTTGCAAGCGGCCATCCAAGGCACAACAATGGGCCTCTATTAGCCTGGAGTGTGAATATTTTTAAGGTTCTTAATATATATTACCAAATTGCCATCCAAAGGATTATATCAGCAATAAATCAAAAGATTGATTTTATGCCATATTTGATAGCAATAGATCTTCTCATTAAAAAGGAAAGGAGTAATTTCATGAGTAAAAATAATATTTCATTGTTATTTTGATTTATTTATTGGTAAGGCAGAATATTTATGAAGTTGACAGCTACTTGGATTTTCTCTTTTGTGAATTGTTTGTTGATGTCCTTAGCTCATTTATGTATAGGGTGAGAGAGATATTCTTTAAGTTTTTAATGAATTATTACTTTATTTTACTAGGTATATTCCCCATTCATTCATTTTTATTGAAAAATCTTGCACCTGTTATTTGTTGTATTTTGGCAATTTTTAAACAGAAATTTCAAATTTTTATATAGTCAGACCTAAACCTATTAATCTTCCATTGATTCAACACTTCATTCTTCCTTATCCAAAGAACTCATAAATGTTCAGTTAAATTTCTTAGAGATGGTGTTGGTTTGCTTTTAATATTTGATTCTTCAGTCCATCTGGATTTTATTTTGGTGTAAGAACTCTCATGAATTTTTGAAGTGTATAAGGCCATTTACCCCTTTCCTTGTATTAAGCAGGAAACCCAGGTGGCGTAGTGGTTAATTAAGGGTTCGGCTGCTAACCAAAAAGTTGGCAGTTCAAATCCACCAAGCACTCCTTGGAAACCCTGTGGGGCAGCTCTACTCTGTCCTGTAGGGTCGCTATGAGTCAGAATCGACTTGATGGTAATGTATTTTGGTTTTGTATTGGGCAGACTCAGAGTGTTCACCTTTTTAACTTATTACTTCCTCCTGACAGGGATACCCAATTTAATAAATTTATCACTTTAATTTTTTCTTTTTCTGCAATATTAAGCCAATAAACATTTCTATGAGGGTACTGTATTAATCAGCTTTTGAACTTTGTGGCAGTCATTTTTGTTGTTGCACAAAGACACATACTCGTATGTGTGTTTCAGATGGATAAGTCTGCTGGAAATATTGTTGGATTGGTATGCTGGTGTCTTAGTCATCTGGTGCTGCTATAACAGAGATACCACAAGTGGATGGATTTAGCAAAGAGAAGTTTATTCTCTCACAGTCCAGTAGGCTACAAGTCCAAATTCAGGGCGTCAGCTCCAGGGGAACGCTTTCTCCATCAGCTCTGGAGGAAGGTCCTTGCGGTGCATAGGTCTTCCTTTGGTCTGGGAGCATCTCAGCACAGGAACCTCAGGTCCAAAGGACACGCTCCGCTCCCAGCACTGCTTTCTTGGTGGTATGAGGTTCCCATGTGTCTCTGCTCGCTTCTCTCTTTTGTATCTCAAAAGAGATTGCATTAAGACACTAATCTTGTCAACCTCATCAGTATAACCTCATCACAGTGATAGAATTTATAACACATAAGGAGATCACATATAATCTCATCATAGTGATAAGAGTTTACAACACGTAAGGAAATCACATCAGATAACACAATCATACAATACTGGGAATCATGACCCAGACAAGCTGACAGATATTTCTGGGGGACACAACTCAATCCATGACAGGTGGTATTAACTGTATTTTAAACAATAACTGCTGTTTCTTCTTATTTTGAAAGTTATATACATATGTATAACTACTGAACTTTATTCTGTATATGTAAAATATATATAATACACACACACACACTCATTTTAGAAAATAAGAAAACACAGATGAGCCAAAAAGTAAAATGTCTCCATATGGTCACGACTTATCTAAAACTTTATATAATTTGCTTATCTTTTTTATTATGCATGCACACACACAATCATATATTTTAGTGCTTATTTATTTAAATAGTACTTAAGTAGACTGTCATATCCAGATAATTATCTAAAAGATATATTTATTCAGAATTAAATCTAAACAATAACCATATATTACTGTGAATTAATCAGGTGGAACAAATTTGTTTAAAGCTAGTTAACCTCTAATTTCCTTCTCTGGTAGCTTTACCAGTGTGTATTTAAGATGGAGTTACAGTAGCCAAGCACACTTTATGGGCTATTTGAAAACCTATCAGTGCATTAGATATGACTTGGAATGTACATACCTTCATATTCCCTGAACCACCCCTAGAAGGTGCTAAGTGAGGGACAAATGAATTAAAGATAATAACAAATTGTTTCCTAGGTTTCCTAGGTTACTCCTAGGAAATGGCTTATGTTGGTGTCATGTGGATATGTAAGATACATGTCTGTCTTTTTAGGAAGTTGTACGCTTCCTGGATACCAAACATCGAGACCATTATATGATCTACAATCTATGCAGTATGTATATGACTAGATATTTTGCTACTCTAGATAGAAAACAGATTGCTGCATTTAAGAGGATGATTCGGTTTTTACATTTCATTTAATCAAGTGTTTGGTAGTAGCAGAGTGTGAGTTCAAAAATCCCCATCTTGCATTGTCCCATTCAGTAGGAAATGATAGCTCAATACACAAGATGTCCTGTGGGAAGGGTGCTCGCAGCCTGTCACACTCAAAGAGGCTGGAGTGGAGGCAGAATAATTTTAGAGAAAATCTGTTCTAGTGGTATTAGGTTTAGTAGAAAAATTTGTTTTTCCTGCCAGATTCTGTTTTAAGGAAACACAGACCATTGAAAAAATGCATTTTATAACCAGTTAGGGTTGGGTTGTGAGCAGAACATGGTCCTATGTGGAAAAACACCGTCTAGAAAACAGAAGGTACCTCAGCTTACTTCTCCCCCTCCCCCCACTCCTTTACCTGTATATTTGTAAATAGATCATTTTAGGGGATGGAGGTGGACAAGCATTTTTGGTTGGTCACATTTGCTCCTGCTCCATGGTTTCTAACTATCCTACAAAAACATAAGGAGTAGTCTTCTAGAGGAGCCCTGGTGGCACAGTGGTTAAGAGCTTTGTGAGCTACGGCTACTAACCAAAAGGTCGGCAGTTGAAATCCACCAGGTGCTCCTTGGAAACCCTATGGGGCAGTTCTACTCCATCTTATAGGGTCGCTATGGTTTCAACTCGATGGCAGTGGGTTTTTATGGAGTCTTCTAGAGAGTTGAAAGTAGGGCCTGTTAAATAAAGCAATGTACGCTGGGCGTATGATTTTAACATTTCCGGGGATGGACAAGGGCTACTATCTTCATGTTTTTGAGATCCGTAACTTCCTTTTGGACACCCTGGTGGCATAGTGGTTAAGAATTTGGCTGCTAACCAAAAGGTCAGCAGTTGAAATCCACCAGGTGCTCCTTGGAAACCCTATGGGACAGTTGTACTCTGTCCTATAGGGTCACTATGAGTGGGAATCGACTCGATGGCAATGGGTTTGGGTTTTTTGGATATTCCTTTTAGGGCAGGAAGAGCCATCAGAAAGCTTCTTTTGTAGGTGAATAGGGAGTTTCTAATATAAAAGTATAAATTATTCATAACTTAATCATTTACTGTTTATCAGGTACAGAGATGTGACCTTTATATTGTTTATTTTAGGTGAAAGAGGTTATGATCCTCAGTACTTCCATCATAGGGTACGTAGAATCATGATTGATGATCACAATGTGCCCTCTCTGAGGTAAGTTTTATGCTAAGCTGGCCATGAGAAGGGGTCTGCATACCTTGGGCCTTGATTTTTTTTAGCTATTTTAATTCAACTAAAAATCTTCCATTTGCAATCAGTGAGATGGTGGAGTTCACAAAGGAAGTAGATGAATGGATGGCTGAAGATAACAAAAACATCGTAGTGGTTCACTGTAAGGGGGGAAAAGGTAATAACATTTTTCTTTTTATTTTGTTTTTCTAAAGAAATTTGAAGAATTTTTTAAAGTACATGAATAATACACATATTGCTATTAATAAGCATTAATAGCTGTTAAAATTTTTTAATATTAACTTCAAAATTGAAGGAAGGGGAAGATGGAGGGAGGGAGAGAGAGGGAAGAATATAGGAAAAATAATTGAGGGAAGAATTGAGCATATTTTCTCTTGTTTATTAGCTCTTTGGGTTTCTTCATTTTTTATTTGCCAGTTTATATCTGTCAAAATGAAATCATGTTTAACTTTAGAAACTGTCAGAGCACTTTTTATTTTATTTAAGGTTGTTCTTAAACTTTGTGAGAACGTTCTAAGGTTAAAGAAGATGCTATTTCAAAAACCAAAAATTGTACTAGAGTTTTTTATAGTGTAACAATACGAAGAAGTTGATTTTGGTAGGGGTAAAATGAAAAGAGAAAACAAGAAGTTTATAAATCCATGGGGACCATCATTTCGGGGGACATCTAAGTCAATGGACATAACATAGTTTAGAAAGAAAATGTTCTATATCCCACTTTGGTAAGTAGTGTCTGGGGTCTTAAAAGCTTGCAAGGACCATCTAAGATACATCTATTGGTCCCATCCCATTTGGAGCAAAGGAGAATGAAGAAAATCAAAGACACAAGGAAAATATAAGCCCAAAGGACTAAAGGACCAAATGAACCAGAGACACCACCAGCCTGAGACCAGAAGAACTGGATGGTACTCGGCTACCACCAATAATTGGCCTGATAGGGAACACAATAGAGTCCTGGACAGAGCAGGAGAAAAATGTAAAATGGAATTCAAATTCACATAAAAAGACCAGACTTAATGGTCTGACAGAGACCGTAGGAACCCCTGAAACTATGGCCCCCAGGCACTCTGTTAACCCAGAACTGAAACCATTCCTGAAGCCCACTTTTCAGACAAAGATTAGACAGGCCTATAAAACAAAAAATAACACTCTTGAGAAATGTGCTTCTTAGATCAATCAAACATACGAGACCAAATGGGCAGCTTCTGTCCAAAAGCAGGATGAGAAGGCAGGAAGGGACAGGAACTGGACGAATGGAAACAGGAACCTGGGGTGAAGGGGGAGCATGCTGTCACATTGTGGGGATTGCAACCAGTGTCACAAAACAATGTATGTAAATTTTTGTATGAGAAATTAACTTGCGCTGTAAACTTTCACCTAAAGCACAATTAAAAAAAAAAAGTTTATAAATCCTACTAATTTCAGTTCAATTACATTTTCTCTCATCTAAGCTTTAGGCTTTTAATAATTAAGCATATTTCTCAATTTTGACAAATATAAAGAATTACATTTTGGGAGGGCTGTAAAACAGGTTTTATATTGATTTCTGGGGCAATACAACACTGTCAGACTGCCTTTTATAATCAAGTAGAATCAAGTGTTAGTCTTACTGAAGAACTAGTTTCAAGCCCACTAGTTAGTAGGCAAGTTCTATGTTTAGCTCCATAGGTTGAAATATTCTGCATATACTGGCATTTTGCAATAACATGGCTAATGAACAAGAAAGCGGTTGAACCATATGAGATTACCAGTATTTAACCATTTTTTACTTTCAAAAAATGGCCATTTCACATGACTTAAACTAAAATATTCTGATCCAAGTGATAGGCTTCACAGTTTTCTTTTAATTAAAGCTAATTTCTTGCTTGAAGGAAAACATTCTTCTCAAACGTAATTTTTTTCTTTTTTCCCAGAGGGGTTTGCATTCTCGTGGGTTCATATGTCTTTCATTGACTTTTCTTTAGGGCTGTTTGGAGGGCTGATGTTCATTCAGCCAGTATGCCCCAGTGCAGCCTCTGTGCTAAGTGTCATTCAGATTGATCTTGCTCTGTTCTTGTTGGTTGGTGCCTGCACATTACCAGTTGTATCATGATATTCAGAGTTTGTGATTATTGATTTATACAAGTTCTTTAAATAGTCTGCATGCTAATTTTTTGTTAGCAGTATATATTGCAAGTGTCCTCTTTCAAGGTTTGATTTTAAATTTGATAGAACAGTGTTTTACAAACTATGGATCTCTATCTGTCAGTGGATTGTAAAATAAAATGCATTAGGTTGTGACTAGCATTTTTTTAAAAAAATAGAATAGAAAATATCAAAAGGGGAATATTTATCTTGTATGAAAGTTTATAATTTTGAAGGTAGTCAAACTTATCGATCCTTGGTGTGTGCGGTTTGTGCTTTTTGTATCATATTTAAGACATTCACCTCTACTGTGAAGTAGTAAAGATACTCTCCTACATTTCTTCTAAATATATTGAAGTTTCGTTTTTTACGTTTAGATCTTTAACCTAGTTGGAATGTGGGGGTGGGAGGGATTTTTCCCATATGAATAGCCAATTGTCCTAACACCCTTTTTTGCATGCTCATTAATTCTCCATTGACTTATAATTCTTTCTCAGTCATATACAAGGTGTCCACCAATGTTTGGGACTATTTCTGAGCTCTCTAACTACCTTGTTATAGTTCTATAGCTTTGTGTTCTATCTTGATAATGTCGGAATTGCCCCGGCTTTTCTGGGAGCTTTACTCTTCCATACAGTTTTAGAATCATTTTGTCAAGTTCCACAATAAAACAATTAGAATTTTGGGAGTTCTGGCACAATGGCGCTCTAGGTAGAAGCACCACGCCGTCCCTCCACAGCAAAGATCTGAAAAACTAAGCCTAACAGAGACTAAAACAATCCTGAAACCCTAAAACATCAAATGAAGAGATAAAGAACTCAGCCAAGCACCAAATGGAGTGAGAAAACTGACAGACAATGGAGAGCGAGGAGAGATTCATACAGAGGTCCCCTACCAGCTAACGCAGCACAGATCCACCATCTTGGACTCCTATCCGAGACCAGCAAGCGGGGTACGAGAAAGCAGCCTCATGGAGCATCAAGCGTGAGACAAACCAACTGGTAATTTGCGATATATGCTTTCCAACCCCCCACCCTTCTTCATCCCGACTCAGCCTCCTCTGCTTCTCACGGCCACAATCTCTTGACCGGGAAACACCGGCAGCTTGGATTCCACACACCCAAACGGGCGGCTCTCTGAATGCCATTTGTTGGCTGCTGGTGTTGCTTTTTTCCACTTCTTTTGATTTCTTCCTTGCCTCTTGCCTCCTCCCCCTCCTTTCGCTCAGTACCTCGCTCTGTGCACCATCCTTGCTTCTTCCTGAGGGGCTGCAGGTCTCCGGTAATTTGTGATATACGCTTTCCCACTCTCTACCCTTCTTCACCCACACTCAGCCCCCTCTGCTTCCCGAGGACACAGTCTCTTGTCCAGAAACACCAGCCCGCGCTAGCTGGCTCTCTGAGTGCCATTTGTTGGCTGCTAGTGTTGCTTTTTTACTTCTGCTTCTTTTGATTTCTTACCCGCCTCTCGCCACCTCCCCCTCCTTTCACTCGAGTACCTGGCTCTGTGCGCCATCTTTACTTCTTCCTGAGGGGCTGCAGAGTTTTCTTCGAGTATGGAGCTGCTTCCCGGTCTGGGCTGCCACACTGGTGGGATCCCAGGGCTTTTGTTTGTTTGTTTGTTTTCTTTTCCTTTTCTTGAGTTGGGAGCCCTTTCTGCTGAGGCAGAACTGCGTGGCAAGGAGACTCCACCTCGGTTTCCACAGACGTGCAGAGGGATCCCTGAGAGCATTTCTTTTTTTGTTGTTTTTTTTTTCTTCTGTTTTTTGGGGGGCCTTTCTTGTTCTTTTTTCTTTTTTAATTTGTTTTCATTTCTTTTCCATCTTTTTCCCTGTTTGTCTTTCTACATTGCTCATTTTCTCGTCTCTCTATATCTTCCTTCTCTTTCTGTTCCCTGAATACCTAGCATTGTATACCTCTACGCCTTCTAGCCAGGCTGTACTGAAACACCTGAGAGCGACTTCCCCAGACCACATAGCTGCACCGGTGGGATCCCCAGGAACTTTGCGGTTCTTTAACCTTTCTTATTTTTATTTATTCATTCTTTTCTTTTCTTCCTCTTCCCCTTTCTGTTTTTCTCCAATTTCATAGTCTCTCATCTCTCCACTCCAACAGCAAGCTTCCCTAGCATTCTTTTTTGTTTGTTTGTATCTTTTTGGCTCCTGTTCCTCTCTCCTCTCTCCCATATCCATGTTAGCTCCACACATAACAATCTCCCCGCTGCATCCTGCCTACCTGCACCATGCGCTTGACATCACACCACCAAGGAGCACAGGCACAGCCTACTGGAACCTGCCCTGCACTGATTACCAACCTGCTCTGGTGGTTGTAGTAAGTGCCACAAACAATCCATCCCAGTAACTCCTCTTCAGCTAGACCTGCCTTGCCGTACCATTTCTGAGTGACTGACCCTGCCAGTTGGAGAAGGAGGCAAAAAGTATTGTGCACACAGATGAGCAAACAACAAAGAACACACAGTCTGCCTGCTCAGACACAGTCAAATTTTTCTTAAAAAAAAAGGTATGAAACAAAAAACTCTACAATCAATAAATGAGAAAAATAACTACTGAATGCCCTAAAGACAGCAGACAATAACAAAACATTTACAAAAACAGGACAGGATGGTTCCAGTAGATGTCCAAAATAAAACACCAGAAGACTCTCCTTTGGAAGAAAATGCACTAGAACTACCTTATAGGGAATCCAAATCTCTAATACTCAGAATTCTCCAAGAACTGAGGCAAAAAGCTGACAAACTTGAGGAAAAAATAGACAAATTCATGGAAAATACTGACAAAAAATTGGAGACGTCAGGAAAATAATGCAGGAACAAAATGCCAAAATAAATTCACAACTAGAAATTATACAAA